AAAAATAAATAAAATAAAATACCCCCTTGCATTTAGCCTTCCTATTTTTTTTGAATTTCAGCTAGCTTGTAGCTTATGCATAAAGACATAAAAATTGCAGGATTTGTTTTGGGTGCAAAAAAATTTGTGTTAATTTTTCAAGAAATAAATACATTGATTCCTTCATTGGTGTCGGGGTGAGGATGGTTGGAGCTATCCACAGTCAGCAGCTCCTAGGGAATGGCTTTGGGCGTAGAACCTGTGGCAGTAAATGGCTGTGACTGCCAGGCTTTGCCCCCTTCCTTCCATAGTGAGGCTTTGGAAGGAAAGCCCTAATGCCAGGCTGTCTTGGTGGCCTTTTTCCCCCATGAATAGCAACATAGAGCTGGGCCAGCCTGGAGGCCCCAGCTCTATGGCTTTGCTCTTCTCCTTTTGGTGTCGGTCTCTCTCTCTCTGTCTCTCTGTCTCTGTCTCTCTCTCTCTGTCTCTGTCTCCCTCTTTCTCTCTCTCTGTCTCCCTCTTTCTCTCTCTCTCTCTCTTTCTGGTTCTAGCCAGCATATCTCCAGTTCCTTGTCAGCAAGACTTAAGATTCTTTCAAACTCTAATGGGTATCATCTCTTAGGCACTTACTGATCTTCTGTCCTTTATCTAAGTGAGGGACAGTGAATTACCCAAAAGTCTTTCTCCCCACTCAGGGTCTGCTCATCTAAGGTATGTGCTGCCTGCTCTGTGACATAGTGGGTAGCTCAGTGCAGGTCCACCTGCAGATTTTTTTTTGGCACTGGGGATCGAACTCAGGACCTTGCACTTTCGAGGCAGGTGCGGCACCACTTAGCTAAATTCCTGACCCTCGCCTGCAGATATTTATTTCACAATTCATTCAGAAAATGAACATTGTTGCCTTGAAGCCCATCTCCCTTCTTACAGTGGGGATGTTGCCATGGCCTTGGTTTCTGGTGGTCCCTGGCCAGATGGGAAATGGTCACAGCTGAAGTGCTGGCCTTATACTCTTCCTGGGGTTCACCTTGGGACCAGCATTGATGGTTTGCTCTTTTTTTACCTCATCAGTCCTTTGGAATGAGCACTTCCATGTCCTTTGTTCAGAGAGGCAGGGTAGATGATAAGTAAGAGAGAAAAATAGAGCAAATGTGAAGTTCTCCCTGGCAGCATCCCCTAAAATTGGATTCCTTTGCAGGCCTCCTGCTACCCCCATTTTGAATTTTGAAGCTTCTAATGTGAAAAGTTAGGGTACGAACCAGTCTCATCTCTCCATTTGGCATGGTGTGGATTGGGGCCCAGGGTTGCAGTCATCTGTATTTTTCCTTCCTCTCATTTCTGCCATGAGTCCTGCTAGAATTTTTAGGGAGTCACTGAAGAGGAGGTACTGTTACAGACTGGGTTCCTGGTCTATCTTATTGCTGTTGTACCTATGGTGGCCTGTTTTTAGGACTCCCTGACAGCAGTTCCCGGGCTGACTTTTCCCCCTTCTTGGAAAGAAAGGATGCTTAGATGTCCTTGAACTTGAATAAACCTCTTTATACTGTCGCTGAGTCGCTGAGTCCCACTCACATCTCAGGTGTTATCCCACTGTTGCCTGGATAATGTCACCCTGTTACCTGTCCTGAGTTCTCACTTGAAAACCCAAGTGAAGTTTTAATGCTGGAGAGATTTGTACCATGTGGTGATTGGAAGTTTGGAGTGAGATTAGGGTGAGAATTTCTTGTGCTGTTTGACTTGATTTCACCCTGTGGTTCTGAAGGTTACACAAAAAGGGGACCGCCCTTGGTCCCTCTCCTTCATCTAGGACCCATGGTGCTCTGCGGATGGCGGGTCCCCACTAACCCCAGTGGCAGGCTTTCTTTCATGAGTCCTGTTCTGGCTGTTGGTTGGAACTGGTGGGCATTCTCCACCCCCCCCATTTTTATCTAAAGCTCACTATGCTGTCATGCATACCCTTTTCTTTGATTCTTCCTCACTTGACCTAGCTCCCAGGTGTGCCATCTTGGTTGTTCACCGTGGAGGAGCCCCACTGTTGGTGATGGCTCACAGCCGACTCCCTCCTCGATGGGACGCAGTGTGTCAGTGGTGTGGTGGGTGCACAGTTCATTTAGTTGATTGCCTGTGCTTTGTTCTCATTCGTCAAAAGATTTAATTTCATGTGTATTTAACTGAAGAGCTCAGGAAGCCAGTAATAGAAGCGTTTCACTGCTTCTCTTAAGTAATATCAGAGTACTTTGAAATGAATGGGTCTGGGGAGAGGAGTAAATCCATTACAGATACTGTCTTTGTTCTTGTATTTCATTAGCTTGTGGAGTCAGATTTGAGCGACAATGGCAAAGCATCTCTGGCGAGTGAGGAAGAGGATGATGATGAAGAAAAGGGTGCACCCAGGAGAGGCAGACCTAGAAGCAGCAGCATTGGCCTTCGAGTAGCCTTTCAGTTCCCCTCCAAGAAATTGGCAAAGAAGTCAGATAAAAATGGTTCTTCTGAGTTGTTTTCTAGCTCATACTTACAGGACAGTAAAAAAATGATTGGAAGAAAGAAAAGCTGCAGGCCGGCGATGGAAGGGGAAGATTCTGACTCTGAGGATGACTCCAGAGATGAGAGCCAGGAGGGCTCGGATGCTGTGCTGAAGAGGACCATGAACATCAAGGAGAACAAGGCCATGGTGAGGTTCCCAGGCAGTGCCAGGGTCAGCTGGGGTCTGATGGCAGTTACTGGGGTTCAGGGGCAATGGCCTCTATAGGTGCTGCCGCTTTGGCTTCTGTAGGGAAAGTGGGCTCTGGGGATTGTGTGTCCTTTTTCTTTTCCAGAACCTAAAGCATTATTATACAGTCAGCTGTGGTTTGGAACTAGAAAGAAGCTCCCAGGACTGTTAACAGTCCCTACAAAGGGGCAGTTGCTAATGCCACTTAGTGTTTATCAGGTTCAGTTCTAAATCAGTAGTGGTATTGAGGATGAGAAGGGCTGAACAACTGGACTGTCCCCCAGCAGAAAGCAGCAGTGAGGGAATGGGCTGTCGCTGAGTCCAATAAGAGTTGCCATGGACAGGGCAGGCAGGCGGCTTTTGCCTAGAAACTGCTGTTTCATGGAGACGTCATCTGAAGGAATGGGAAAGGTCTAGGAATCAAGCGACTTAATTCATTGTTAAGCTCATTTGTCAGAACAATTGATGGAACAAAGTGAGTTTTTCTTATGTGTATTTGGTTTTTCCATATATGGTCAGTAGCTTCATTTGATCATTTTTGAGAATCATTGCTTGCTTCATAATTTTGCATTGACAGAGTTTTTAAAATTCTGAGTTCCTCTCTTTGTGGTATATTTTTCTTTCATGTTTTCCTTTAAAAAGCATAATACTGATGCTATGTGTGCAATCATGTGTCTGACAAGAAAATGGAAAACTTAACTTTTAGGATAATTTTCATCTAAGAAACATTTGTGTTTAGCCAAGGGAAAATTTTAGCACTTTCTCTTCTCAGTAAGGACTATGTTCTGTGTGACTTTTTTAAGTGGTACCCATGTATTTGTATACATAAAACTAAAACTAATCCAGATTAAATTCCCTGATTGGCATATTAGTACCTGTCGTTTGATATTAAATGAAGCGTTCATTTGGGAATATCTTCAGAAATTATTTTTATTGGTGAGAAATTAACTTAGGAATCAGATTTTGAAACTCTAACGATTAAAATCATCTAGTTGAGCTTTTTGATTTTTGGACATGATTAATCGTAAGATTTGGGTGTGTAAAATTTGTCCTGGGTTACACTGCTAATTAGCCAGAAACTGACCCTGGAGCTTGAGGCCTGGACATTGCAGGACTGTGGTCATCATGTCATGTTGTCCCTAGATAAGGAGTGGGCACAGAATTAACTCAGATGAATGATGGCGTCAGCTTCTCAGCTCTTGAGATAAATTCTTCATGAGTGAGCCTGAACTACTTAAGTAGCAAAATCCAAGGCCCGTGAGAGAAATTGGGTGACCTAGACTTGGCAGCATTGACTTACTCTTTCTTTCATTCTGAACCTTAGCTTGCTCAATTATTGGCGGAATTGAATTCAATGCCAGATTTCTTCCCAGTTCGAACCCCGACCTCAGCTTCTGTAAGTGGGACTCTTCATAATCATTCAAACATTGGTATTTCCTAATCAGTTGCCAAATGGCTTTTATCCAGTTGGATCTGCCTGTGCTCTTGGTTTCAGAAGAAGAAAACAGTGCGACGGGCCTTCTCAGAAGGACAGATCCCAAGGCGCATGAACCCAACCCGAAGTGCGCGGCCCCCAGAGAAGTTTGCTCTAGAAAACTTCACTGTTTCTGCCGCAAAATTTGCAGAAGAGTTATACAGTTTTAGAAGAAGGAAGACAATTAGTGGGGTATTTTCTAATGCGTGAATTAGTGTTGGTTTAACCTAGTGGTCCCCAGACTGAGTGCATCAGGTCACCCCAGGGCTGGTTACAGATGCAGTTTGACTCAGGGGGCCCAGCTCAGAAACTTGCATTTCCACCAAGTTCCCAGGTGATGCTGATTCCCCTGGGACCACATTTTGAGAACCCGGGTCCGAGAGAGTTCTGTATCCAAACTGAGCTGAGAAGCAGCTCACTGGTAATTCCTAATGAGCTGGATTCTGCTTGATCGCTGGTGGAGACAAAAACGCCTGTGAACAGCTCCAGGCAGCACCATGGTTTGCACGTGGGACATTCAGGGATTGCTCTTGGCTTTTCTGTTTCAGGATGGAGAAACTGGGAACTTTTCCATATGTGGGGTTGGCTGTACCAGTGTGGTTCACTTCCCTGTTTCCACAGTTTTCAGGAGAGAACCCAAAAGCCCAAGCTTCTCATTATTGCTATATCCCTGTGCCAAGGGAGCTTGGCCTGGAGCAGGAGCGCAGTAAATAATTGCAGATGACAGTTTCCAGGGAGATGGAACAGATGTTAACATTAGTGGTGCTAGAGCTCAAGAAAGCTTAAGATTTTTATTTTTAAATGGCTCCATGTATCTTATTCCAGGTTCTACTGTTCATTTTGCAGGGGAAATGCAAGGGGTATAGACAGCGTCGTCGTGTATCTTCATTTCGGCCAGTGGAGGATATCACTGAAGAGGACCTGGAAAATGTTGCCATAACTGTTCGAGATAAAATCTATGATAAAGTTCTGGTAAATGATTTATTATTAATAATTTGTGTAATTGGGATTCTTACTGAGTATTGAAAGCATATCAGGGCTTAGATCCTGTCCTGTCTCCCCGAGGACTTAGAAGCAGGCTTTAAATTGTAGGGTCAAGGGTGAGCTAGACCTGGGAAAGGGAAGATGGATTAGTGCAGTGAGCCTCTTCAGGAGAGGCCCCGAGGCATGCAGATAATCCGGGGAGAAGCAGGCTGTCGTTTAGAACAGCATATTTTTATCATTACATTTTCATTACTTACATAGTATAATGTCTTAAATATTGAAAAACACAGTGTGTTAGGGATAATACAGCCATAGAAAACAAGTTTGACGGTATCTTTGGTAGGAAATGGGTTAAATGTTCTAAATAGTGATTTAAAGGTCAGCTTTGTGTTGGTCTGTGTCACTTTTTGATAAGTGATGGGAGACTGTCTCAAGGTGGCATTAAAATGTTTTTTAATTGAAATGCGAACATTTTAAAACCAGAAGATTTTACACTGAAGGTACCCAGGTCTGTAGTCCGAGGCTAGGGCTGATTGACACTGGGGCTCATCACATGTAGTCCCCTGTTGCTTCCTGGCGGCTCTGCCGTGCCGGCCCCCACCTTTCTTCTGGGCTTTCTGATTGCCTCCAGTGTGCTTTTCTGGCCCCTGAACTGAAGTGCTTACACGTGGCAGAGGCTGCTGTGGTTTGTCCTGGGGAAAAGACCCTACTTGGTTCTGGGTGGGAGGCAGTGCTTTGTGCACGTGGCCTCACCGCACAGGTCCCCAGGTTCACTGCGCATCCCTCTCCCCAGGGTAACACGTGCCATCAGTGTCGGCAGAAGACCATCGACACCAAGACCGTGTGTCGGAACCAGAGCTGCGGCGGGGTGCGAGGACAGTTCTGTGGGCCATGCCTGCGCAATCGCTACGGCGAGGATGTGAGATCGGCGTTGCTGGACCCGGTAGGAGCAGTGTTGGCATTGTTAGAAAATGTACGGGTGAAGGAAGCAAGCTCAAAGTGGGGACCTGCAAGGGCTCTGGGCTTTGTAGAGCCCTCACCACTTTCCCCCCTTCGCCATCTTATGGCAAGGGGAAATGAAAAATAGCATTTCCTTCTGGAAAGGTAACAAGCTGGCAGACAGGATCGGAGAAGTGTACGTTGAGCTAAACTTCTCTACAGTTGTCTGGTTTTGTGCAAGTTAATCCTGTGACTTTCCTCCAGCAAAGAGACCTGTCATTTTCTTGGCCCAGGCCAGGGTGGGCATATCACGGTATTGAGTGCTTTCTGTGTGTCGGACACCACTAAGTGGGTCTCACGTGTGCCAAAGCGGTTAGTTTTACCTTCATTTGTAATGAATACCTTCTGCCTTAAGAAGTAGGTATGTAACCTGTTTATGCTTCAGTTCCCTCTGGAAATGAGATGGCAGTACCACAGTTACGGTATATGACCTTGGACCCAAGCAGCCTTGCTTTCTGGGGTCTGTGCTCTTAACCTTTGCCCTTTATTGTGTGACTGCTTCTTCACCAGTAATAGGAGTACATATACTATCCCCAGCTTACACTGAACCTGAAGGGTAAGTGATTGAAGACATCGGGAGAGTTGAGATTCACACCTTGTGTTCCTAAAGCCAAGGCCAACTTTGTGGGTGTGACCTGGGCATTTACACAAGAGTCCTGCAATTGGCTTAATGCTCAGGAAAGCCTCCCTAAGTTTGGAAGAGGAGCGTCCACTAATCACACGGAGCTGGTCTTGTCTAAAACAGCCATTGTTTCTCAGTGACATGGAATATGAAGCCCTGAGGGGAGGTCCCCCTGAGAAGGAAGGTGACGCACTGGATAATTCCTCTCCTATGGAGGGGGTGCTGTGTGGTGAAGACTGGAGAAGAGGCCCAGCTGAGCCAGGCTGGATCAGAGACTGTTGTCTTGCCAGAGCCTTTAGATAATGGGGGAAATTTCTGTCACTGCCTCTTTTAGGATTGGATGTGTCCTCCCTGCCGTGGGATCTGCAACTGCAGCTACTGTCGGAAGCGTGATGGCCGCTGTGCCACGGGGATCCTCATCCATCTCGCCAAGTTTTATGGCTATGATAATGTTAAGGAGTATCTGGAGAGGTAAGTCTCCAGCGATTTAAAGGTTCAGGTGCCATCCCTTGTGGAAGAGCCTCTGCCTCATTACATGGCTGATGATGAAAACACCTCCAGTGCCACCCATTCTGTGTCCATCGGCATTGAATGGTACTTTTCCCTATTGGGAAATGGCCTCTGAACCAAGACTTCCCCATGGTGTAAAAGAGAAAATGAAGGAATAGACAGGGCTGGCTGGGGGCAAACTGGGAAGACTGAAGAGGCAGCCGTAACCACACTGAGCAGTGAGATCTCAGACTGCACGGGGATGAGGACACAGAAAGGTGGGCCGTGAGTGTCATTTCTGTAAGGAGCTCTGAAGTGTGGTTTTGTAGTTTGGGAGTGAAGAGTCACACTTGGGCCACATAGTATCCAGGATTTTTTTTTTGTGTGTGGTACTGGGGATCGAACTCGACCTTGTGCTTGCAAGGCAGGCACAGTGCCACTGAGCTGAATCCCGACCCTAGGAGACAGGACTTTGAGAGTCAGGAGATAGCAGCTAGTACGGAGGGGTGTTTGGGGGGTTCTTTTCCTCCATCTGATTAACTGCTCATCAAATACTTCTCATCTTTTTCTCAGCTTACAGAAGCAGCTGGTAAAAGACAATTGAGAGAAAAAAGAACAAGCCAACTCAGAATACTCCAAGACATGCATACCATTTGTGCCTAAGATTTGTTAAACTTGTATTTTTATACAGAAATTCTTTGTAGAGTTGTTTCTGAATACTATTTTTAAAAATTGTTTATATGCTTGAAAGATTTTTCAGGAAAATAGTAAAGCAGAGAAATCTATATCCATGTATACACAGATTTGTATTGTTCTAAGTAGTTGCTTAGTATGATTCGGAAGCACAGTTTAAATGGGTGGAGTTAAAGTTCAGGTAAGTTACGGTAATAATGCCAGTAAAAATGGCAGAGGGGGCAGTTTGGGAAGTAAAAGGTAAATTACACAAGGTCAAAGGCAAGAGCTGCTTACACAAGTCTTCTCATTTAGTTTGTTGTATTGTGAGTGAGTGGCTCAAACCATGTAGTTTATCCTGCTCTGGGTCATTCATACTGAAGAATGTGTCCCTAAATTACAAAGTGCAGTTAACCACATGAGAGTTATTAGGAAAACTAAACAAAAGTGGACTGTCATGTTACAGACCCTGGAGGCCTTGGAGGGCCTAGCTTTTCCTTTATGACTTGCCTGGAGCCTGCTGCTTCTAGTTTTGAAAGAATTTAAGGGCTAAGTTTTACTATCCATAAGAACTAAAATTCCCGTTCCTTCAAGCTGCATGGTTTTTGAGATTTAGTAGAATCTTGGTGAAAATGTGAGAGACAGTATATTTTGTGTTGAGAGAATGGGTATCAGGGAGGAACCCTGGAGAGCTAAATCAGTGAACATAGTTCCTGAACAGATTTCTAGTATTATTTTCTATATTTGCTTCTTTCTGTCCCATTCTCCACTGTTTAAGGGTACTGTTTGCACATGTAAGTTACTAAAAAATTACGTAAGCTGCAATGTTTTATGCCCTTCAGTAGAATAAATTAATAGGAACCAGTGTAGTGACACAATAGGGAATGCTCACTGTTGTTCCGGCATAGGCTAGAGCAACCTAAGTCCCAGTATGAAGGCCTCCTTATGCTTCTAGCAACAGAGCCACGCCTGCCAGCACCCACTTAGCTGTCTTCTCTTTGCTTTTCAGCCTGAAGGTCCAGATGTAGGTGGAGCCCCTCATTTTGTTTTTGTACACAGGGCACTCATAGGTCTGTCTGGTTTCTTGTCTGTCCATGGGTATGGCTTTGGCAAAGATGACCGGCATCGTGGATGTCAGCTCTTTGAGGCGGGCTTGGACAATGGTTCCAGACTGGATGTCCCATCTGGCTCCTATGACACAAACAGTAGTTGCCAACTGTGTGGTTTGTTGGTACTGATATTCTCACTGAGGCAATAAACATTCTGATTTTACCACATCTTTTCTTGTCAGTGGCATCCTGACCTTGCTGGGCCATGACTGAGATTTGAGAGAGGTTAATTTAGCTATCCTAGACATATATTACTGTTCCATGTATAATGGTTAAATAGTTTATATAACGATTCAGACACATAAAAGCAAATTTCTCACTCCATAAGAAATCTCCAGTTCAGTACATTCTCTCACCACCATGCTACTTTCTTAGAACAAGTTCTGATCATTCAAATACTATTTATCTGAATTGTGGCACATCATGACAAGGACTAGATGTCCTGTAGGATAGTGCACAGCCAAATAAATTTGGAAAATATTGGGTCTTACTCTCTTAAGAGATGCAAAAGGGCATCTTAAAGGTTGGAAAAGTCTGGCAGTGAAAATTAGAGCAAATTTACTGACAGCTTTGTATTGAAAAGGAAAATGATGTAAATAGTGTCTTGCGTTGTCCTGGGGCATTAATACCAAAACTATGTGTGAAGTTTTAAATAGTCATCACCTCAGATTGGCTCACACTGAATGCATACTTTGGCCCTTACATTGCTGGAAGGAAAGAAGGGAAATGAGAAGTATCCGCTAGCATGAAGCTATTGTATGAGTGAGTAGATCCTGAGAAACAAGGACAAATGCCAACTTGGACCTGGAGAGAAAGGCTCCCAGGCACTCTCTAGGTGGCTCACCTTCCATGCTGAGCCCGTGGAGGTATGCACCCTCCCTCGGGGGGTGGCTGTAATCTTCCTTCACTTTCTTGGTAACATCCACAGTCAGGCACATTCTGTCCAGGGGCCACTCATTTTTTCGAGCCATGGATTGCATGATTGCTTTAGGAGGAGAAGGAACAGGAATTAGGAATTGAGTAAGATAAAAAAATAAAGCTGTATATAAATAGGGCTTGAAGGAGCCACCAGTAATGCCATGGGATGTTTGAAACTCCTGGGTATTCTGCTTGTGGCTGCTGTAAGGCAAACTGAGGCCACTTAGTTTATAACCTGTTTGTGTATCAGATTTTATTGAAAAGTGATTTGTTTCTGTTTCACCTGTGCTTGCTTCTGCGCCGTCCCTGGGGACCCTTCCCCCCTGCTGTTTGCCACCATCGCTCTTGCAGCAGGCTAGGGAGAATCATCAGCAAAGCAAGGTAGGACTTTGGGGTCCGGAGGGCATGCATCCAGGCTGCCCTTCTTCCACCCTTACCAGTTAAGAAGGACTGAGGGTTGAAGAAGCCAGAAAGCCACACAACAGCTGGAAGGACAAGGTCTTGGGTCCAAGTGTCCAGTTCTCGGCAGCGCAAGAGGAGGTCATTAAACCTGGTTAGTCGAAGGTAGGAAAAAAAATAAAAGTGCTTTTTAGTAAAATGGATGTCTTCCAACATAAGTCTGAAGAAAGGGACCAGGGGTGGGGGTTGCACAAGTATACCACAGACAGCAGTGGAAACCTCACCTAGTGATTTGCAGGGCGCTCTCCCTCTTAAAGAGACTGGATACTTACAACTGACCAGGAAAACAGGAATGGGGAAAGTTCTGCATTTATTCACCCGTTTTATTTAGAGCCTCCCATGTAGTGAGTGTATACAGAAGTACATTCATACTGGGCTGAGAAGAACCACCCAGAAGTGCAGGAGTGGTGGATCACAGCAGAGCACACTCGTGTCTGATGACAGGAGAGAGGGCTGTGATGCTCCTGCCAAGACACAGTTGCCAGGGAAGGTGCCAGGTGGAGAGACTAATGGGTGACAATATTCTGCGTATGGTAATAGTTAACCTGGAAGGGGAAGGTAAAGGTGACAAAAAGGATCTTGTCCACAGAGTTGTACAGGGTGGGCAGTGCTCCTAGTTGTAAGGAACTTGGCTCACAAGGCTAAGGAAATATGAGCTTTGATAAAATTTGGAAACCCCAGAAGCCTTGAAATGGAGGTTCAAGGGCTGCTGAAAAGGGGTAGAGGGTGGGGCACCGAGCAGAGGCTCACAGGAGCCAGCAAAGTAGCCGTCAGCACAAGGTGAGGCCTAGCACTGGCATTCCCTGGGAACTTGTTTGGGTCCCAGTTGTAGAGGAAATAGGTTGGATGAGGACTCACCCTGACATCCCACAGCAGGGATGTCTGCCCAAGATGTTCAGCTGGCTGCAGGCTGTGAAGAAAGAAAGACTGAATGGTCCCATTCAGATTCCTGCTAGCTTAGAACATGGGCCTGCCTTATTCCCTGCCTTACATTAAATTCTTATAACTGGCTTGATATAAAACTATACTTGAAGATAATAAAAAGGAATAGGGCTCTATACAAAGACAAAAGGAATGAACAGGAAAAGCAATGGCAGAAAAAGATTCCTAGGTTAAATTGTCTTAATGTAGGGCTGGGATTTTAGCCCAGTGATGCCACTGCCTGCCTCACAAGTGCAAGGTCCTGAGTTTGATCCTCGGTTCCCCCCCCACCCGCCACCCAAAGTCTTACTGTAGAGAAAGGGCAGTCAGACAATTTGTAACAGTTTAAAAAATGACTGCTTATATAAACAGGATTATGCCTTAGGAAGGGATCATCAAAGAAAAAGTGGGGTGATCAAGTTGGAAGTGCCCGGGAAAGAAGGAAAACCATGTTACAGAAAAGTAAAGCAGCAAACAAATATCTAACAGTTTCTAAAACATGTTTCCTTATATTATAAATTTCAGTATAATACATGATATTTCTAGAAAATTTAGAATAATCAGTACTAACAAACACCTTAATTATATGGACTATAAACATGTTAATTCTTTGGGTGGAAGGAAGAAAACATGAAGCTATTTAAAGAGGGCAGAAATTGTACTATCCTCAGACATCTCTAAAGCAGGATTGGATAGAACAGTGATGCCTACCAAGTCCCCAAACTGTATGTGAAAAAAATTACAACCAGCCTATCTTTCAGATATAGATATAACAAACTATAGCATAAAATCCTACCAGCAAATCCAACAAATAGGAAGGTTTATAACTCAGAAAATAAGAGGAATATTGGAAAAAAAGACAATGACAGACAATTCTAGGGAAGCTACTACCTCTTTGGAGACATAATGAAAATCACCTGGATCTGACTAAATCAACCAAAATAGAGCAGAGCCATGTACAGTTAAAATAGAATTTGGTGGATAAAGATAATGAAGAGCACGGAGGGAAAGGCAATACTCAAGAGACCTAAGGGCTAAGAAACTTAAAACAATGGAAGCTGCGAATGGATCTCATCTTTATAACAGCACAAAGTCTACACCCAAATACAGTAGTGAACTTGTAGAACCTGAGGGGTACAGGAAACTTGTGAAGGAATGACAAATATATGTAACCAGTGCTAGGAAACAATGGAATTTAAGACATGGAAGCTCAGAAAAAAGAGTCACGGTGTCCTAGAGTTTCTCAGAGAAGTCACCAGAAAGCACTGAAGCCCATTCAGGCAGAACAGATGTGACCCCCTCACTCTGTGCTTTATACTGTGGTAAAAAGAAAAGAGCCCAGAACAAGACGGGAAAGTAATGCTGAGCAGAGAAGTGGATATATTATTAAAGCCAAAATAGTTATCAACTATAAACAAAAATGTGTAAAATAACTCTAGCAGTTCAGCAGGAAGCTGTATGTTCTACAGGAAAAAAAAATGTTTACATTGTGTTAGAAAAATTTGATGTTACGGTATAAAGGCCTCCACCAAAGTAATAGGAATGACACAGGGCCAAACCAAATAAAGGAAACTAAAATCAACGAGTCAGGAAAAAAAAAAAAGGAAAAAACCCTATGAAAAACAAAAGTACAAAATGGTGGGAAAAAAGCCCAAATGTAATCATAAAACAAATAGGAATCCATGATTTCTTGATGTGCATAGCATGAGGGGTCAGTTGAGAGGCTCTGCTCACTTCCCTGCTATGGTTATTCTCTGCCATCCATGGGAGTCACACAGTGTCCTGGTCCTGTTTTCTTGTCCTTCCTGTCCCCCACAGCCAACACTTGGGTACCTGGGGATAGTTCTAACGTCATCATTTGGGATTCTAAGGGGACTTTTCACTTTAAGGCTCAGTAGTGTTCTGATTTATGGAAGAATGGTTCAGGAAGTAGGGATAAAGAGCTTCAGCACCAACAAGCCAGGGATAAAGAAGGTCTTGTGACTGAATTTTCTAACAAGGCCATGGAGCAGTGGGGAATAACACAAGGCTTCAGCAGTCTGAATTTCTGCCCCTGGCTGTGTGACCCATGTCTGCAGTCATACTCCCACAGAAAGGGAATAGTTTTCTGTACATCATATTAACGTCCAGAAATCATCGGAGCAGGCGGTTATACTCCTGAGGTTGGAAAATAAAGGATATAAATGACAGGAGGGCAAACTTGAGTTGCCTTCCATGGCCATTCAGATCTTGCAACTTGAAATTTTATTGCTATATTTTTTTCAGATGAAAAATTGAGACGGATCAGGTATTTTGTCCAGGAACAAAGACCTAGCAAGTGAATTTGAATTTTTGTCTGGGCCTGGCTTTGACAACATATCAAAGAGAAATGAGAAACTGGTGATGGAGTTTGCCTGGTTATGGGTCAGTCACAGGTTCTGGGATTCTTACAAGGTGTGACTGAGAATGTTAACCCAGCACTGACACTAATGGCCTTGGCAGCGAGAAGAGGTAGCTTACCACTGGGCAAGGCCGTAAGTAGATGGGTAAGCCAGTTTGCTCCAGGTATGTGGAACTCTGTCATAGCTCAGTGCAGACTGCTGGGCTTCCACATCAGGAGACAATGTCAGCTCCCCCTTGTGTGGAGAGAAAAAGACCACACAGTGAAAATCTTCCAATATGGTCAAGCCCATTCTAGTCCCACTATAAACTTACCTTTAATCCAAGGTCTAATTGTTCAAGTGATGCACGAATTTCCTGAATGAGAATATTCATCCTCTCACATTCTTGGAAACAAACAAGAACATATGGGCTTCTATTTGAGGTCTTTTGCATTATCTCTGCCATGTTGAACTCTTCTGGAAGTTTCTCCAAAATGTCATCCAAGACATTCTTAACCTTAAATCATTAACACATACACAAAGATTTATCTCCTGTTCAGTTCTGTTCATGGTGATAGACATTTTACTTTCTGAAGTCTCAGAGTCCATCATCCAACTTCCAAAGGTCTGTGAATTCATTTTTTAAAAAAGTTTACATTTTTGGTGGTACTGGGGATTGAGCCCAGGGAATGATAAACTATATCCCCAGCCTTATTTTTTAATTTTATGATAAGGTCTTGATAAATTGTCTAGGCTTGCCTCAAACTTAACAATCCTGCTTCAGCCTCCTGGGAAGCTGGGATTACATGTGTGCACCACCACATCCAGCTATGAATGCATTTTATTTTTTTTATCTTTTATTTTGGTACCAGGGATCGAACCTGAGTCCTTGAGCTTGCGCAGCAGGTGGCAAAACCACTGAGTTAAATACCCAGCCCTATGAATGCATTTTAAAGATGCCTACTCCAGTATGTGGGCCAAGTGGCACAGCCCACTCGGGTGTTTTCTGCATCAGTGACAGCCACTTCTCTCCACTAGGTCCCCACAATACAGTCAGGGAGACTACTGTTTATTCACAGTATTCCACTGCTAGCATTTAGGGCATAAGAATAGTTATCAAGTATATGCCATGTAAAGATTTGGTCAGAAGACATAGAACTCCATTATTTGGGTAACCTTGGGAGCTGCAGCTGATCTGAGAGATGTAAGCAAACTTTAAAAATATTGTTACACATATCAGCTGTGTAGGTTCAAGGTCATGAGTAGCTATGTGTTTGCATGTGACTAATGTTAAGTGACCAGTTTGCTTATATAATAGGTGTTTTGTAAGGGTGTATGATACACAATAGTGTTTATAAAATACGAGAACTGCAGTAAACATTGCGGTATTTCTTGAATGGTTTCTAGATTGTAACTTAAAGTCATGCTTTTATTATATAAATATAGGTAAATTCCCAGTGTTTTAAATTTTTAAAATTTCAGCACATACAAGTAATGAATGTCTCTTGAATACACATTTCCTCATCATGGCCTCCCACGGGATAAATTCTTAAAAGTCACATGGATCAAAGAGACATTTAAAGCATTTCATTCTGTTAACTGATGCTGCCCTTCTAACCAGCATGCCTTTGGATCCATTTTTAACAATAGAGATGCTTCTATCTTCTATAATGTTGCCCTGAAGAAATGAGAGATTCATCACTGAAGATGTGAATAGGTACATAGTACTCATATGCATGTTCTATGAAGCTTCACTGAACTGAGAAAAGCAATAAATATCTGAAAGACAAAATGTTTGAAAAACACTGCCCATTAGCCTCAGGTGGCTTTCTCTCTTTTCTTGCTGTCAGATTACTGTTAGTTGGGTTGACATCACTCTTGCCAGGTGTTTGTAGCAACCGGTCAAGTCTTGAAATCTCAAACTCTCATAGTAGTGCTGTAGACAGTATGAAACACAGTATAGTACTGTAGTTAGGTAACAGCACCTTGTAGAATTAGTCACTGGTCCATTCTAGCCGTCCTGCTTTGGCAAGTAACTTGAACTTGTCTCTGAAATAGAGACCCTGGCTTTGCTCTTGTGGATTAAACAGCATATCTGTAAAGTACTTTTTATAGTGCCTAGCTAGTGCATGGCCTTTGCTACAGTCTGCCTGTTTGAGGTGTTAAGCTATCTTTACCTTGAGTGCTCTGCATTCTCTGGTTAATGACCAGCTTTGTTGGACACATACAAGTACAAAAACCAGATATGGATGTCCATCATCTGCTTTTACTAACATTACAGCATCCCCTGAAGGATGAATTTTTCTTTGATAATCTTATTAAAAATGTAACACTTTTCTAGAAAAGATGCTAGTAACAGGATGAAACACTACAATAAATTCTAAAGCTTCTAAATTACGAGCCTCACTGAACTACTTATTTCAGGAAATAATATGAGCAGTTCCTAGGACTACACTGTAATTAGATCTGGGGTTTAGTGAGCTCCATTTAGTCTGAATCTTTGTCAATCGAATCCTGATTAGTAATTTTGAAAGAAGGGCTGGGGGAAAATAATCAGCAAGTCAGGTTTTAAATTAATGAGAATATAGTTATCTGAAGATTTAAAGAAAGTAATTTCTCATCCCCATCATTCTAGCACAATGGTGATGAACCTTTTAGAGCTTTTGATGACAACAAACAGCGGGCTGTGGCATGCATGCCATAGGTTTGCTACCACTGTTTTAGGGCAATAAAAGTCTTCCAAAAAATGGCAGCCTTCTGAGACAATGCAAAAAAAGATACCATGGTAAATGACTGAGCCCAAAACATTAAGAGTGAAAAGTTAACTACAGATTTGGAGAAGACACTTGAAATTCATACATCTGACCAAGAATACACATCCAGAATAAAAGTTCTTAGAATCCATAAGACAAAAGATTGACAACTCAGTTAAAAATACGATGAGCAACAAGTACTTCACAAGTATATCCAGTGATCACACACATGCAAAAAGGTGTTCCATATTTTCCTCAACTGAGAAATGTAAAGTTAAAACCACTAAGATACCACAATCCCTAGCAAAAATTTCAAGGAGGTAAAGCAACTGGAACTCACATGCTGCAGGTAGGAGTATAACTGCTAAAAGGGTTGAGAAAATTGAGAGTACAGTTAGAGCTAAACATATCCCATGATCTGGCAATCCCACTACCAAATATAGAGAAATGAGTATGAGCAGGTACCTTTAGGAGTTACATTTGTCTGTTGACAAAGGACTGTAAGAGGATGTTCATGACCATAGCAATGGACAAACTACAAACCAAAACCCACAGCAGAGTGAATGAAGAACTATTCATATAAATGTTAAAAATAAGCCATTGGTATGTGAACTGCACAAATGTAATGTGGAGTTGGGAGCCTGATAGAAACAAAAATGCACTGTGTGATTGTAAACAAAGCTAATAGGTGATCATAGTGGTAAGGATACCAGTCACCTTTGGGGAGTGCAGAGGTAGCTTGACTGGTAATGGGCTTGAGTATTCTGGCCTGTTGAAAATGTTTTGTATTCGATCTGTATGTGGTGGGTATGAGTATATAAGAAGGTAAAAGTTCATGGAGTTTTACATTTGAGCTTAGCACATTTCAGTGTATATATCTTACTTTAACAAAAGAAAAGACTACCTTGTCTTCTGCAGACTGCCCCAGTTCGTCAGTGCGGAGTGCACTCCTGGGCTGCATCTCCAGCAAAGTTCTGAAGAGAGTGTTGGATGTCACTGTTAGGAACTCTATTTCAGCATTGGGGTGGAGGCCGTACAGTGCTGGGCTTTCTGGAGGCAGCATTTCCTCTATGTACTGATGGTAGCCTGAATAATCGAGGTAGGGAGGGGCTGCAAAGCCTGGGGCCAGCATGAGTTCGTCTTCAATCTGCAACCATAAAGGGAATGTCAGTTATTCCAAAGCTAGGTTGGAATACTGGTTGGACACTAGGCTGGTGTCAGTCTTTGCTGCCTAAACTCCTGAGAACACTGGTAAGAAAGCCCAGCATAATGCTAGGCAAGCAGCAGGCTCTATGATGCTTCCCAGTCAATAATTCTGTTGTATGTATGGCATGAGGCTGACCTCTGGAGAGGACTACAAGGGATGTGCATGAATCCTGTTCTAAGAAAGCTTGGAGCAGTGTGATGCAAGGAATGAACAAGTGTTGTGCTATCACTGCCTACTGGTCACTGCTTCGATCCATTGACTCTCCCAAACATCCCCATTTTCCAGAGAAAATCAAGATGGACATTAATTTGCCTAGGCAGATGTTTGATTTTAATCTTAATTTTGAGCTCACTTTAGTACGAACCTATAGCTTATACTTTCCTAGTGTACCATACTTTCCAAGGTACTGTTTTGAGTCATTTTGTGTACAACACATATAAATAAGTAATGATTGAAAAGTATGTGGGTGTATAAGTCTCATAGGCTGTCAAAGAGTATAAGTCAATTTGCTGCTACCTCCCTAGGACCATAGACTGGCTATTCAGGGTAAAGTCTGTGGTACTGTTCCTGTCAAGATCCATAAACATGGGGTCAGTGGCTGGCACATGCTACTGGTCAATACACAGTTTCCTGGTGACTGAAAGACTGTAGTAACATGGCCTTTCCCATACTCACTTCTTTAATGCTCTTGAAGAGTAGACATTCTATACAGAGCGATGTTTTGAACAGATGCAATGTGAACAATACCAAACGAAGTCAGAATATACATGTGACCAAAAAACTTATGGGCCTGAGACTCCATACAACCATAAGCAGAGTCAATCACAGCTTATAATTTTCTAGTAAACTTAGAATAATGTGAGATTTTCTCCAGATTGTTCTCAGTACCAGGGGAAGTTTGTTTCAATTTTCTCACTAGTGATGAAAATTCTGTCTATATTTGCACCTATATGTATAGGAGAATGCTGTTTAATCATCATTTAATATAGTTCTTTTCTGCCTAGATTTTTAAAAGTTTCTAAAAGTAAGATGTGTCTGTGGCCATGTGATACTGTGCTGTGTCGCTTCACTATCACTAGGCGTGTTTGTTAGTCCATTCAGTAATATGCACTGTTTACTAGCGCCCCACAGCAAATTTTGGAAACAAGAAAGCATCATATGACCTAGTTCTTCATGAACTTCAGTCTCTAAAGGGGACAAAATAAATGTGATTTTCTACAAAGTCATATAACTGAATAATATTGGTTTGTTCTTTCCTCTCAAATCTGCAGTCCTGGATTGCTAAGCCTGTGACCTTAACAACAGTGCTCAATTACCGTCTATGAGTTCTAAGAGCATTGTTAATATTTAAATCTACATTTCTCCTTTTACTTTATACTAATTTTTTTTTTTTTTTGTACCAGGGATCAAACTCGGGTCCTTGTGCTTGAGAGGCAGGCACCAGAACCACTGAGCTAAATCCCCGGCCTTATACTAAGATAATTTTTAAGTTATCTAATCCTTCATATTGCCAGAAACAGAAACCTTGATCCAGTGAAATGGGAAGGAACAAGGGAGACTGCCCCACTACCTATATCCCTAGGCTTGGTTTTGGTCATTTATTCATGTTGTTATCATTTCATATGAATAAGAATAATCAAAATTGAAATGTCATTTTACTCAGAATGACCCAAAGAAAACTACAGGAAAATTAAACTCGTTTTATTAAAAAACCCCAAATTAGAATAAACACACCGAGATTGAACATTATTCTCTACAAACAAGGACTTGGGTCTTTTCTGTTAGTGCTCACTAGGTTGCCGAAAGTTTTGAAAGGCAGCAGTTAATTTGTCCTTTAAAACAAAAAGGAAAGTGATCAAAATTTGAATCACTAGGAAAAATTAAAATGCCACAGGAACTGGATATTTGAATGCATTCTCATAATGCTGGTGGGACTCCAAATGGAAAGACAACTAGGCAGTCTGTTTATAGAGGGCCTTGTGATGAGCAAACCAAAGAAACCAAACTCAAAGAAAAGTGCTCGAGGTTTACAGCAGGCAGACCTGGCTCAGTTCCCACCCCCTAATGGTTTGGTGGCTGTAAGAAATGACAGTCTGTCTTTGTTTCAGTCTTTTCATCAGTAAAATGGGGCTCATAATAGTGACTTAATGGTTGTAGCTGTGAGAATTTAATAAGGTCGGCTAATTGCTAGGCCCAGTGCAGGCTTTTACACATAATCTTCCTGTGTCCTAGGAGCAGGCATGGTTATAAAGTACATCTTGATTTTCTGGAAGGAAAAACAAAATCTGAGAAACTTTACTGTAAATTCCTACTTTGATGTCAACTAAAGTTTGAAAAGCAATGCTTGGTTCAAGAACGTTCCCCTTTCTTTCAGGGAAGATTTCAACATATCCAAAGAAGCCTGTGAATCCCAGCTCTGACTCTAGACCTTACTTCTCACTCAGTGGCTTTTATGAAATCTGCTTCTTGCTAATGAGGCCCTAACGGAAGAGCTCTTTCCACAGTGGCCAGCTTTCTTGCCTTTGGAGGAGAGCTGTTTAAGAAGGTGCTGTTATGCCTCAGATTACCCATTCAAATGAACCCTTCTTCAGAGAAGAAATAGAAATAGCCAATGACCCCATGAAAAGATGCTTGACATCATTAGTCTTCAGGAACATGCAAATCAGAGATACCATTCCAGGATGGCTAGAATAAAAAATGTGGACAGTAGCAGTGTTGGTTAGGATGTGGGAAACACTGGTGGTTCCTCCAAATGTTGAACACAGAGTTACCATTTTGACCCAGCAGTTCCACTCCTACGCACATTCCCAAAAGAACTGAAAGCATAAGTCCATACAAAATTTATACCCAAAATCTAACAGCAACATTATAATAGCCAAAATCCAGAAACAAACAAAATGCCTACTAATAAACAAAATGTGGTGTATCTATCAATGCAAGAGTGTTTGGTTATAAAAGGGAATGAAATTCTTACACATGCTACAACAGGGATAGCCCTTGACAACATGTTAAGTAAAATAAGTTGGACACAAATGGCTTCATATCATATAATTCCATTTATCTAAAAAGTCCAGAATAGGTAAATCTACAGAGACAGAAGTCTCTGTAGCCAGGGTCTGGAAAGTGGGAAGTACCATGTTTGGGGTGGGCAGGGGAAAATGGTGAGTGATTTAATGGGTACAGAGTTTTTGGTGGATGAAGATGTTCTAAAGTTGTGATAATGCCTGCACAACTGCAAAAAGCTCTGAATTCTGCAATTTAAATTGGTAAATTTTACGGTGTGCAAAGTATATCTTAGTAAAACAAAAATCAATGGATTCCTCTTCAGGCAGATTCAACTTCCATATCATGAAATAAATAATCACCAAGGATATGAAAACATCTTTGCAGAAACTGCTGCCAGGCATGATTAGAAACTGGAAAAATCAGCAACCTGCCCTCTGTGTTCACCTTACTGGATTGTTGCCCTTTTCACGTTTTCTTTTCTGACATTTAATAAAACTTTACCCCACCAAGTAGCCTTGGTAATGACAAGAAGCTCCCAGGTAGCTGTGAGTATAAACAAGTACATATGCCTTTGCTCTCTGGGTCACAAATGTGGTCTGGAAGTGCTGTTGGGATTTCAGGAATTACTCAAAGTTGAATTGCATCATTGTGTGTTCTTTAGAGCTGAAAAGTACACTGGTGATTTTCTAGATGATAACTTTTTACTTTACACATGAGTAAGCCGAGGAGCACAGAGGTCTGGGGCAAAGCTAGACAGGAAGTTCATTGCACAACTTGAACTCTGGTCTACTGGGTTGTCCTTGTTCTCAGTGCCACCACACCTGGGTGTTCAAGTGGGCCTCAGTGTTTTGCGATCGCTGACCTGTCACAAATAGATCACCACCCGAGCCAATGCAGTATGGCACACAAAAAGACTGGCCATTCGAGTCTTTGTAAGTTCAAATCCTAGCTCTGCTGCTTGGTAGCTGTTTGACCTGGGTTCAAGCTTCTTTTTTGATTAAAGGAGATAATACCTACTCTGCAGGATTGTAGTGAGAAAAAAAAATAATACACCTGAAGTATGGGGTAATGACCTCTGACAGCACAGGTATTTAACAAATGGTTTCCATTGTTACTATCACAGACTAAGAAATGAACAGTCAAGTATGAAATGTGTATTATACATTTTATACTTAATAACAGAAATATCGTTCACTTAGCATTATTATTCTAACATTAGATCTATGTTCACAGGTGACAACAAACTCATGAGTTGGTTAATTCATGTTTTGTAGATGATAAAGCTAAGGCTCAAAAAAGTTCAGTCCTATGTCTAGGATCGCAGAGCAAACACAAAGAAAACCTCATATTTGAACCTAAGGGTTTGTTTTTACTTTTTAACCTCAAGCCTTTGATCTTAATTGTAACTATTATCATCAAGATAGTTTGCACTACATGACGACTTTCTGTCTTAGTTACTTTCTCATTGCTGAGACAAAATACTCAATACCCAAAGTTAAAGGAGGAAAGGTTTATTTCAGTTCACAGTTGATAGATGTTTTAGTCCATAGCCAGCTGGTTCCAAGGCAGGGCAGCATGGCAGAGGGGTATGGGAGAGAAGAAATAATCCATTGGGTGCCAAGCAGAAGCAGCAGCAAATCTGCCTTCTTTCTGTCCTTTTATATTCCATCTAGGCTACAAGCCTATTGATTGGTTCCACCCATACCCAGGGTGAGGCTTCCATTATCACATTATTATCACATTATCACATTATTATTAATGTGAGGCTGTCCACATTCACGCACCCTAGTCCAGCTAGCTTTGAAACTCCCCACCTATGACCCCATGAGGCTTGGTGGGAACATCTAGATACAAACCACTTTCAAAAAGTAATACTCTATATGATAATTTTCTAAAAGCAGTTTACTATATTACTTATTAGCACTGCCAAGTACCTGTGTTATACATGAAAATGTTTTCACCCTTAAATTTTGCCCAAAGACACTTGAAGGGCACTGGACTATTCTCTGAATGCAAATTCATCCAGCAAGAAACTCATCCTCCTAATACCAAGATACTGTGGTGACACCTATTAGTGACTAAAGGGTTAAGACCCTCAGCAGCAGAATTCTCTGGTGACACAATCCTGCCAAGCACATACTGAGCATTCATGAGGCAAAGCTGACCAGAGAAAGCATAAAATAAAAAAATATAAGATCTATTTGTTCCTTCCAACAAGCCCTGAGCCATCTTCTCCCAAATAGTTACTGTATCTAGATAACCTTATCTACAGCTAACTAAAGAGGCTTCTGTGAAAACAGAATAAACACCTTGTCAATTTGCAACTTTCGTGGACAATTTTAGATACAACACAGGTGTTCTAAAAGATCATCAAGAACCTGCTGATCTGAAAAAAATATTCATGAGATATCTAGATTGGCTGCATAGGCCCTTTTTCTAAGTCCTCAAGTCCTTATAAAAACCCCAGTCTCTACCCTGTAATCATAACACTCTGGGAGGCTGAGGCAGGAGGAATGTAAATTTAACCCCAGCATGGATAATTTAGCAAGACCCTGTCTCTAAATAATATATTTTTTTTAAAGGGCAGGGGTTGGGCCGGGGATTTAGCTCAGTGGTTCCGCTGCGTGCCTCGCAAGCGCCAGGTCCTGAGTTTGATCTCCAGTACCAAAAAAAAAAAAAAAAAAAAAAAAAAAAAAAGGCGAGGGATGCAGCTCAGTGCCGAGGCCCTGAATTCAACTCCCAGTACTGTAAAAGCAAAAACCAATCTCTCACCCTAATGGCAGACTCCTTTCTTGGAAATGCACCTGCTCTCCCCTTGCAGGTATACTTTGTCTGAATAAACTTACATTTTCTTGTTCTGATCTTGGTCAGTTGTTTCACTGCCCATGCCACCAGCCCTCCCTCCACACAACAGCAGCCATCTCGCTATCCCACCATCTCCCTATCCCACCATCTCACATGCAAACACTGCTGGAAGCATTTCAGTTCTTTTGATAAGAGCAGAACTTTAAACCCAACCTATTATTGAGCAGGTTCTAATGCAACAAAAATACTAATCTGCAAATACATTAACCAATATGAGAAGTGGCAAAAAGACATCCTGCAGATGCTGAAGTGTTAGGGACCACTGCTAACAATATAAACGGCATGAGTAGGAAGCCTTGCAGGAGAACAAAGTTAACAGATTTACAGCCTCTGACATGAGTCAGTAAGTGCATTAATTTCCCTTGCCGAGACGAGAAGGTAACACTGTCCAGTGAGGACTCAAGCTTGCAAATGAAGCATTTTGATCCTGAACATCTCACCAGATCTGTGCGGAAGGTCAGGTACCTACATTTCTAAAGGGCTTACACACACCAGTGATGCCCCGCAGGTTTCATCACCTATATTTATTTTACAATTATTTGAATGGGAGTTCAGACTTGTGAAGGTTAATGGACTGTCTCGTTTGGCAACAATAATTCCCCCCCTTAGCCACAGGCCAGAGCCATGGGAGGGAACATTCACAGGAGGTTCCTGCTCTACCCCTTGACCTCCACCCTCATTGGAGAAATCAGCCTTTGTAAAGGTCACTTGCTGGCACTGTTTATCTTTTCCATCTCCATGGTAACTTGCCTCTAGACCTCTTCTGAGGAGCGACTTCCAATTGTGTTAAATAGAAAGTATCTTCCTGACATGTGAAATCCTGCTCATTAGAAAGGAGGAAGACCAGGAGACTCACAGTGAAAAAAACACTTAAATAATGGTCACATATCAGGGAAGTCATTTTGTTTTCTGCCTTGTCCCTGAATGGTTTAATGTTATTCAAAGTAGTAAAAAATGTGTCAAGTTTTATTAGACTATATTATCCCTCAATACATGATTATATCACTGCTCAAAAACCTAGAGGAAGGTGATCACATCTATGCAATGCTTGTCTGAGATGAAATTTTCAGAAGTTATAAATAAGAGGTTGTGCAAACCATTAAAAAAATCCTTTAGCCCTGCTCTCTAAACACAGGCAATATCTTGCCCAGTAGAAATGGTGCAGTATAGGTCACTGCTGTGCTTCACAAGTGTCCCTTAAGGAGCCCTGTGTTAACGGTTTGGTCACAAGTGTGTGGCTATGGGGAGTGTGGATCCTTCAGGAGGTAGTGTGTAGTAGGAGGTGAAGTTGTTGGGGTGTGGTCTGGAAGGGGGTGTTGGGGCCCTGGCCTTTCCTTTTCCCTTTTCTTTGCTTCCTGACTGCCCTAGGTGAACAGGCTTCCTCCCCAGTGTACTCTCACCATGATATACTGCATTGCCACAGGCCCAAAGAATGGGGCCAAGTGACTGGATTGAAACTGCTGAAACCATGAGCAAAAGAAACCATTACTCCTTTAAAATTGATGATCTCAGGTATTTTATCACTGTGAAAGAAAGCTAATACAAGTGGCCTGAGTCTTTGAGAACTTGCTTGGGAATGGCTATGAACCTGAGCATGCTTAGAGAGACAGCTCACATGAGGAAAGCCTGGCCACTTCTCTCAGCCTCGTGTGAGAAAAAAAGAACAGCACTTTTACCAGAAAGAGCTCTGATCGTCAATGTTTTCTACGGAGACACAGGGTCAATACAATGATAAAGGAGAAATGGAAGCCAGGTGTCTAAGCCAGCACAGTGTGATCCACCCCTTCCTCACAGAGGGAAGAACAGGGTTCTCAAGTCACCACATTTTTATTTTTAAAGAATAACTGTATTACTTTGTTATTACACATAGAATGTCAACAGGGATTCCACAGTCCTACAATATATTAATGCTAATTTCTCTTTCTGTCATAAATGTCATTGTTTTTAACAGTTTTTGATAAAAGATCAAAATAAATTTCTTACAATGCATTTAGTTAATATTTCTTTGGGTTACTCTTGTTAGATTTTAATTTCATTTTTAATTGACAAATACTAATTATATACGTTCATGGAGTACAATGTGATGTTTTGACACGTTTACATTGTGGAATGATTAAATCAAAGTAACAAATCCATTACCTCGTGTACTTATGCACCCTTTTTTTCATGAGCATCTATTTAGTAAGGTGTTATTGACCAAAATTTACAATATTCTGTGACTTCTGTGGCAGGCAAGAAAACTACTGTGAAATGGATAATCAAACTAAAATCAGATGCTTACATTCTGGTTCTGAGTACTTGCTGAGTGGCCTGGAGCTGTAGCTATGCCTCTGTATTTTGGTCTGTACAGTGGCATGACAGCATCAGCTCTGAGTGGCTTTCAGGGAGCTGACCCTGTAAGCCAGTGTGTGTGAGAGCACCTCCCCGTGGCATATCACACATCTGCATGAATCATCACTGGGGAGTTTCGTGAAAGTGCGGAGTCTTTTCTGCACATCTAGGAAGGGCCCTGAGATTCTGCATTTCTAACAAACTGCCAAACTCCCATGAAGACGGACCAGAACACACTAGCAAAAGGCCAACAACATTTAAGAATTAGCCATATACAGTAGTACAGTTATCTTAATCAATTCCTACCAGAATTTTCTCCTCAGTGGAATTTAACAATGTCTTACCAGAGACGGATTCATGAATTCTTCTAAGTACACCTGGCACAGTCTGCGATCCCAGACATCTGTGATGTGGCCCCCGTACATGATCTCACCAAAGAGATAACGGAGGTCTTCCCATGGGACCTGGGGACAAAATCATGCAGATGTTCACTTCCTGGGCCAGAGCATGTGCCTCAGCCTGGCCAACTAGTGGCACATGCCCTCTAACACGACGACCCCCATGCCTTTGTCAGCAGGGGTGCCTGAAAGAGGTGTGGACGTTGTCTAAGTTTCTGTGCAGAATTTCGTGGAAGAATTATTTTCAATGTGTCCTGAAACATTTGGTGAAAGACTTATAGTGGTAAATTCTTTAGGCAGATTTTAAAGAAAATGGAATCACTTTTAAAATATGTTTATATATTAAAATTCTCCAAAAATCCTGAGAGGATGTTGGTTCACGGGCCTTTGAAGTGTTACCTGGTTTTTATGACTTGATTTATATCAGTTTTTACTATCTGATTGAAGAAAAGAAACAGCCATACAATTTGAATTAGGGGTGCATTTTGAATTCTATCACTTCCTAAATGCCCAGGCAAACAAATCCCTTTGCCACTGACTGACTCAAGGGCTCAGTTTATGGTCTGACTGGCTGAGTGACTTTTCTAAGGGTTGTACCGAATGACTACCATATTGTAGCCAACAAATCTCTCTCCTCTTTACTTGGCTTAGCAGGATTTGAAGCCTCTCTTTGCTACCCTTTAGCTTTCTCTGGGTTTGCAAAACATGCCAGTGTGTGATGAAGGCTTTGTAGTCAGAAGCCTTTATACCCTTGGGGGCAGTCTATTGCCTCCCAATGGTTCAAGTAAAAACGTAATTATAACCTTTGCTTGTTGAGTGATGTGACAGAAAAGAACAAGTAAAACTGCTTCAACTATTCCAATGTACTTGCTACAAGTTTATTTGAATTTGAATAAATGAACCTCAAATATGTCTTTCTTTTAAGCTAGCGTGATGTGCATGAGAAAAGGGCGAGGGCAACATGTTCTCGCTACCATGCCATATGCCACATTCATCCAGCTGAGATGGATGGGAGAGACAGATTTCTTAAGTTCATTGTCCTTTCCGATTGCATCCAATTAACGCCTTTTCTGTACTTCAGTACTGTATCTGATATGTTATCTACATCAAGATTTTAATCAGGTAATGCTCTGTTCTTTTCAGCAACTGATTTTCTTTCTACTAAATCTGATCTTTGTCTTTTATACTACCTTCATGAAAAGGGTATCTGTATAATCAAACTATGTGCACATATCAACAATTCTTGAATTTGATAACCTGCTTTGGGGTATGTGGCAAATACCATGGGTTAAGACATCTGAGAGACAGAAGGGTGCAGTGACAACCAAAAGCTAGTTTGACCTGAAACCTACTGAGGAACACACCTGCATGTGAGGGCTGCAGAAACCACACCAGTCAGCTCCTCCCATTCTCCCTTTCATTCCTACCTTACTTATCTACAGGAATCAGCTCAAATAGGATAGTAATCCTGGGCTCAGCCTTGTGGGACAATTATACAGAACTTGAATATAAGTGTTAAGTGATCCATTTCTTTCTTTTTTTTTTTTTTACTTTGAACTATTGTAATAATCAATTTTATGTGCCATAGTTTAAATAACACATGATGAGGTCAACCCAATTATTCACTAGATTGGTTAGGGCATGCTCAATGTGTACAGATTTACTTTTTTATTTCATAAATAAAGAAGATAGGGAATATTCATTATTACAAACTATTAAAAGCATTTATTTTGGAAACAATGTATTCAAAATCTGTTCCTTGGGAGAATATACCCATGCTGTGTGCCAAGTGTCCGTACTGTAATAGCAGCTGAATCACCACTAAAGACTGAGAAAACATTAACAACACAAACTGTAACAGAGGGCACCATAGACATAACAACCATTTCTCCTTAGATACATGGATGGGGACAGTAAAGGCTCTTTATAGAAAGTGTGGCCCAGAGCCCAGCACACAGGGCTTGATAACTCCATCCCACTCTTAATGATTTAACTTAATGGGAGAGGTTTCCTTTGCAAGGATTAAACCAGAAACTTCTTAGGAACGAACGGTTCTTCCTTTCTGAAATTCAATCATTAGGTATGTAAGAGTTTACACAACTGCTGTTGACAAGGCATTCCCATTCCCATCTGCAAAAGACATTTTAGCTACAAAATATCAAATCAAGGAGACCGTTACTGAGAAAGTCACAACAAGGTGGCATCCTTAATACATAATAATGACATATGCAGGAAATGCACCATTATTTATACATGTGACGCACTGTAAATTGCTTCCATCATCAGAACTAATTGTAGTGATTATTAATGCAGTGCTATGAACTGTCAGAATTGCTGTATGTAATTACATTTGTGCAAATGCTTCATTACCTGCCTAATGAATCTGGCATATATGCACATGTAAACCACTGTTTTTGTTAACATAATGAAGGACATTTTTTTTTTTTTTTTTGCACCAAGCTGCTGATGTAGAACCAGTCTGACCTGTCTTATAAAGTTCTACCGTCCACTGCTGGAAAACCCTTGATCTAGTTTATTTTCACATTTAGCAGAAGATTAGATAGAGAGAGAGACAGATGGACATAGAGATATAGATAGTTATTTCAATAATAGCTTCAAAAGAGAGATTATAGTCCATTTTGAGTGTTCACAGACTGAGAGATTCACTACATTCCTTGGAAGGGGTTATCTGACCACCAGCACTTACATTAGGGTTTGCCTCTAAGTAGTTGTAGAGGACATTGGCACAGATGGTAAGGTCTCCAGGATTGAAAGGGTAGCTTCGGCTCCAGCCTTGGGAGCCAAATCTCAGTCTCCCCGCAACACAGGCATGGAAATAGCACAGCGAAAAGAGAATGCTTTTGAACTCCTGCTCCTTGGTGCATATCTCAAGTGTATCCTGGGAGAAAAGAAAATAAATGCTTGGTTATCCATGACATGGTTTGCAAGGGCAAGGGTGTGAGTTTTCAGGAATCTTGTGAAGGACCGAGGGAAGATATACTACCGAGGTAGTATACAGTTGTGATCAAAACATATGGCAAATGTTTGCGTTAAAATTTTTATCATTGTAAAAGACATTGCCATTGGTCCTCCACAAAATATTCTCCCCCCAACACATCCCATTTTTCTGGCCAGTTTCTAAAGCAGTTCTGGAAGTTCTTTTTCAGAAATTAGTTAACATTGTTGTGGCTGCCTCAGTGTCCTGAACTGATTTAAAGTATTTACCTTTAGGGCCAGGGATATAGCTCAGTGGCACAATGCTTGCCTAGCAAGAGTAAGGCCCTGAGTTCGATTCCCAGGACCGAAAAAAAAATTTACTTTTCCCAGAAATTTTGACTTTGGGGAACAGCCAAAAGTTGCATGGTACCAGATCTGATGAATAAGGTGGGTAAAGACAAACCATATAATGTTTTTATTTGACAGACATGGCTGCACTGGAAATGATGTATGACAGAGCATTGTCATGATGGGAGATTAAAACATTTGCCCACTTCTCAGGCCATACACATCATTTCATAAATGCTCTAATAAGCCCTTATAATATTCAGAGTTCTCCATAGTGTGCAGTATTCCTGGGTACAAACTCAGCTTGCACAATTCTATGAGGGTCAAAAAACATAATCAACATCATCTTGATGTTAGATCTTGATTGATACATTTTTTTTTGGTACTAGGGATCGAACTCCGGACCTTGAGCTTGCGAGGCACGTGGCGGAACCACTGAGCTAAATCCGCAGCCGGATACATTTTTTTTTTCATAGGAGAACTGTGTGATTTCCATTGAGAATTCTGAACCTCTGTCTCAGGATTGTAACCATAGACACGAGTGTCATCTCCCGTGAAGACATTTCTTAAAAGCTGAAATCTGAATCCACACACTCATGGAACTCTTTCATGTTAATGCCTTGTTCATGATCCATGATTTATGGCACACTCGAAAGCACACCTCCTCTCAACTGTAGCTCACCATCAACTGACTGCAATGAACAAGTTGAAAGAAGAAGAACAAGAAGATCCCTGTCTTTCCATTGGATGGAACATGGCAGCGGCATTCACTGTATTTTTTATCACATCTTGTATAGTTTTAAGTTAGACTATAGTTATAGTTTAAGCATGGCTACTTACCCAAGAAAGAATAAGAGGTGATTTTCTTTCCTCTTAATTTAAGAGGAATCTGTGTATTTCACTTGTTATTTTTCTGATTGCTTCTAAGTTCTGCACAAAATTAGGCAACTTATTATATTTTTATTTAATCTTTACATTTATTAGTACATGTGTCTGGTATATACTGACTACAGTCATTGTGGGGAGTTGGTAGATGCACATAACACATCTTAATTCTTTGTATATCCCCTTCCCCTCATGCCTCTTCCATCTCTTAGTCCCTATATCATTTGCAAAACATCTAGCTCTGATGTTTAAGCTTATATGTTTATGTCACTTAACATGGTTTCAAGGTGCATCCATTTTCCTAAAAATGACTCAAATTTAATCTTCTGTATAGCACAGTAATACTCCATTGTGTATATATTTTCTTTATCCATTCATCTGTTGATGGACATATAGGCTACTTCCAAGATTTAGCTGTTGTGAATTGTGCTGCTATAAACATGAGTATGCATACATCACTGTAATAGGATGTCTTTAACTCCTTTGAGAAGATATCTAGGAAGAGAATGGCTGGATCAAATGGAATTTCTATTTTTAGTTTTTCAAGGAAATTATATATTAATATCCATATTGGTTGACTAGTTTATATTTCCACTAACAATGTAGAGGGGTTTCTTTTTTCCTGTAACCTTGTCAACATTCGTTATTATTTGATTTCTTGATGGCAGACATTCTTTCTGGAATAAGATGGAATCTTGGTGGTGTTTTAATTTGCATTTCTCAAATGGCAAGAGATGCTCAACATTTTTACATGTATTTATTAGCCATTTGTACTTCTTCTGAAAAGTATCATTTCACTTGCCCATTTTTGATTCTCCATATTTTGAGGGGTCTGATTGTTTTGAGTTCTTTTATGTTCTAGATATTAGTCCTCTGTCCAAAGTATAGCTATAGGCAACTCATTACAATGTCAATACTGGTTGATATCATTTTCCTCTGTAAAAATTTCCTTGTAAAATCTAGATGACAAAAGGTTACTTTTTTTTTTCATTGGTACATTTTAGGTATACAATATAATGACATTCACCATTGGAAATTTGTACCTTTACATAATCTCTCTTGGTTCTTATTTTTC